GATGGCAGTGCGTTGTTTTTTCCTTCTAAGTGTTATCATTAGTTCTTTTCAAGAATCTTCTACAAGCGAAATGTGATCAGTGAGAGTGAGTTGAATTTGGTGCACGTTGTTCATGGTTGTAAAGCAGATCTCATTCGAATCTGACTTCTGTTTTACCTCTTCCACTGAAAGCATCACTCTTACTTCTAGGGGGCATCTGGTAGTGTGGAGGGGTTCTTCTCTCAAAGCAGGAGAGGCAATCCAAAGATCTCTGTCCATGAGTTTGGACGAGAGTGCACCCCAAAGGCTGTCTCTGCCTGGCACAGTGGTCACATTGAGTCCCTCCATATTTTCCCTTCATCTTGCACAGTGAGGAGGCACTTGAATGGGTTTAACTAGATAGGACCGAATTCTGTGATGGGCTTACTGATCAACCTAATGCCATCTTTGGCTTTTTTAAGATACGGATTCAAGTGTTAGCTGCTGTGGGGGATCAAGTTCTGTGCCTTCCTCTTAGAACCACACCTGGGGCCTTGTTTCCGTTGGCCGGTCTCTTCGGAGTTGCTCAAGAAGGGAGGAGCCATGTTGCTGGAAGGTCCGGCTGTTTTCGCATATGAGGGGTATTGGCAATGGGAACAAGATGTCTTAATTGTGTGATTAATTCTTTGCCTTGATGTAAGATTTGAGAGGTCGGGAGCCCGTCGATCTTTTCACCGCAAGCCCACCATGCCCCTCCCAGGGCCTGGTGTGTGCTCAATAAATGTTTGAGTTGAGTCCATTTTTCCAGGAAGATGATGGTGACCAGCAAATACCTGTCAGGCAGATGACTAGTTAATTAGAGTTGTTCCTTGTCTCTCAGAGGGCCGGCCAAAGTCCCAGGGAGAACCTTGTTAAGGTGGCTACGTTTCAGCTCCACTGAAGAACTTTTGTACCAGTTAGATGTGTTTAGCAGGCAGATCGTTGAGTTGCTTGGAGGTATTTTCATTCGGTTCTTTCAAATTCTTGGGGAGAGGCTGCAGGTGGAATGACGTTGTGGACCATTAGCCCTCCCCGCCAGGTCTGTGTGTCATTTGGCCAGAACATTTCACGCCCCAAGCCTCCTTTCTGAACGAGACCTTGCTTGTCTTTGCAGACTGAAGCAGAGCAAAGAACTGGACCGGGAGCAGGCCAACGAGCAGCTGACCCGGGCAATTCTCCGAGAGAGGATCAGCAGCGAGGATGAACGTTCCAAGGCCAAGCACCTGGTGAGCTTGAATGCCGCCGCGGCCAGCAGCTCGCGGGGAGAGCAGGTGCTCCCTGCATCCACGGTCACGTCTGGACCCAGGTTCTCTTGCTTTTTACACGTTGCTGGCAGTCTGTTAAGATGAACCCACAAGAAATGTGAGCGGGATGGAAGGCAAACTCCACACGGAGCTGCCACTTGCATCTTGCCCGCAGGGACGCCTGTGTGTACAAACCACCCTTTAAGCTCATTTCCTTGTCTCTGAAACCGCTGGGGCCAGTAGCCAACCTTGCCTTTCCCTGCTGGCAGCTGCCAGATGTTAGTGTGGGAAGATTCCAGCCAAGACGGTGAGGTTGGAACCACCACTTTCAGGGCTCCAGAAATGGGGTCGGGGGAGTTGAGAAACCCCGCTTCTCACATGGTTTATAGTTTTAAAATTTATTGATTTATTTGGATTTTATTTATTAGAGAATTCATATTTTTTGAAAAAATTGGTTTTTGGGTGAATTGGGCGAAGGGTGACAGAGGTCAGTTTTCCACTCAGTAGTTCACACACCTTTTGTTCCCTGTCCCTGAGTACGACCCCCACAAGGTGCCATCGCATACCCCACTCTCCCTCCGTGGTTCCCTGCTTCCCCTTCTTTGCTGGCCCAGGGAAACGCTGCCCCGTTGATCTCAGATGCTGACCGTGTGGTGTCACCAGGATGCCTGTAGGGCTCCTGAGTCAAAGGATGTGAGTATATAATGGAGCCATGTCTTCAGTGACTTGTTGGGATTCAGGTCGGATGGGGAAGACGGTGCCTGGGCTGAGGGGACCAAGGGGCCCAGTGTGGAGGCCCGAAATGGGAGTGATATTTTCAGAATTAAGGGCATTGAGCAATTCAAACAGTTACTTTAGCTCTGCATCTAAGCTGAAGGGAGTGTTTGACACAGAGGGTGAAGTGGGTGGAGTGGGGTGGGGTGGGGTTAGTCTCAGTTTTAGTACTGGTCTGTGTGTGTGTGTGGTAGGGGGGGGTGGTTGTGAGCGGACGGTCTAGTCTTAGCGTCCAGGGTCAGAAGAATCCTTGGGGACTCTGTCAGAGACCCCTAGCTTTCTTCCTGCAGCTGCTTATCCTCGGAGCGCTTTTCTCTCAACTTCACCTAATTGTCATAGAGCCAGGTCTCCTTAGTTCATGGAGATGACCCAGACTGGAATGAAAAGGCCCCAGCAAACAGCAGCTGACCGCATGGGCCCAGGACAAGGCATGGCAGGGAGATAGGCTAGTGTGGAAGAAGTCCAGGTGTCAGCAGACTTCCTGCCCAGTTATCAGTCAGCAGGTTGGACATAAGAAACTGGCTTCCTACATACCAGTCCTAGAACTGGATGGTGGCTGTGGCAGTGGCAGCCCTCCGCCCTGAAGTGTAGCCTTTCTCAATAGTGTGCTTTCAGAGTAGGTAGGGTCTAGGTGCCCATTCTAGGTGCCCAAATGGAGTTGGCCGGCTGCCCCTTCCCAGAACAAAAGGACTCGGCAGCCCACTGGCAATGGAGAACCTTTGTGCTCTAGACAGGAGGAAAGATAGTCCAGACACCCCACTCCCACCCCCCACCGCCCCGGGGAAGATGGGAGATCGATCACCCTCACTCTGGGAAGCACTGCCTTTAGCTAGTGGGGCCCGCAGGCACTCCGTCCTGGAGGACAAAGTGGAAGTGTTCCCGAGGGTTTCCAAGGCAGCCAGTCTGTGTGAAGGCACACGCCTCTTCTCCCGAGGAGTGGCGGGTAGGCGTAAATTGCCAACCTCCCAGTCAGTAGCCCTGCACTTAACCCATGACGCCACCCGGGCTCCTTCAACTCACCACTGCCCAGAGATGGTAAAATCCTGGTTTGTTGTCGCCTCCGCCCCCAACCCCCCCCAAACAGAACCAAAAACAAACCCACTGCCATATGGAGCCCATTCTCACTCCCAGTGCCCCTGTAGGACAGGCCGGAACTGACCCGGTGGGTTCCTGAGACGACCTTTTTTGTTTGTTTTCTTTTTAAAATCTTTTTATAGGCGGCTCGGCTCATATAACTCATCATAATCCATCCATCCATCTATTGTGTCAAGCACATTTGTGCATTTGTTGCCATCATTATTCTCAAAACATTTGCTTTCTACTTGAGCCCTTGGTATCAGCTCCTCATTCCCATCCCCCCCTTCCCACGCCCCTTGCTCATGAACCCTTGATCATTTATAAATTATTATTTTTTCATGTCTGGCACTATCCAACATTTCCCTTCACCCACTTTTCTGTTGTCCGTCGCCCAGGGAGGGGGTTCTATGCAGATCATTGTGGTTGGTTCCCCCTTTCTCCCCCACCTTCCCCTTCCCCTTCCCCTCCTGGTCCGGAGACTATCTTTACAGAAACAAAGTGCCAGTTTTCTTCCAAGGAGCTGCTGGTGGGTTTGTACCACAAACCCTGCCTTTAGCAGCCGGATGGGGAACCCGCTACACCACCTGGGCTCCTGCGAAGTCTGTGTGTCACGTCTTTATACATGTAAATGTATTCCTCCAAACACGTGTAGTAGTAAGCAGACACTTGTCTCACTCTTAAAATCATCTTCACATGAAAACGGTCTTCTATACCAGTACGTATTTATTTGCATAATCATTTATTCAATGTGGAATACAGTTCAGGGAATTCCCCCCTAATTATCAGAACAGTATGTGGCTATTAGAGAAAATCTGGAAAATTAACAATTACTAAGAAAGTAAGCATCGTTAGTTCGTTTAGGGACATATTGTTCTCCTCCTACCTCCTGCATATATATATAGTCCATGGAGCCTTCTATAGTTTACATTTCCCACTCCCCTGGAAGACAGAGTGGTGCCTGCAAGCTGGCTGTTGAACTGCGGAAACCCCCCTGAAGGTTTGGGCATCCCCAGAACCCGTGATCATGGGTCAGCCACCCCAAAGAGCTAGCGCTGTCCTGTGGGCACTGGACCCCCAGGGCTGCCACTCTGAGCCCCGATCTGTGGGACTCTGAGAGACAGCCTGGCATCGATTGGCTCCTTTCTATGGAGAACCCAGACGTGGCGGCCAGCAAGCCCCTCCACGTGGGGCTCCACTCTGCGAGAAACTGGAAAGCTGTCTTTCGAGAAGCGGGACGGAAAAGCTGATGCGGTGCTGGCGCTGTGGAACAGGACTCCCGCCCACGGCCAGCTGACGTTTAGAGTGCTGCCTCCGCAGACGGCTTCCAGCCCCACGTCCCCCAGCTGGAGCAGCCAGCCGGAGGGCACAGTTGCCGCAGTCCTTGAAGTTTTAAAATAGGATCGAATCGGAGTCGTCCACTCTAAGGGTCGCCTTAGCAGGGGGAGGCTGCTAACTTCTCTGGGTTCTGGAATCCCTCTCCCTGCACTGGTGGTTCAGCCAGCGGCCTTTATCCAGAGGGCCTGCCCCAGGGGCGCCCTCACATCTCCCCCTCACTACATGCCCGGGGAAAACGCACGAATGAAGCTTTCGGGAGTGGATCAGCTCCGGGGACCTGTGACGTCAGTGTGCCTGGAGACTGTGTGTCTCTTAAGTTAATCTAGTGCAAGAGTTGTTCTCAGCTG